GTTATAGTGTTTGTTCCAATGCAAGCTAGGCTATATCAAAATAATGAATCCTTAAATTTGAAATATGTACGATAAAATGTTTTGGCCTATACTAAAAAAATAATACATTATAAGAGATTTATGGAAAAGACAATATTATTTTCAAGATGTTTCCAACTCTAACTTTGAACTTCTGGATATGTCCAGTGACTGCAGTGAATAGTGCTGTTGGCAACAAGAGAAAGACCTTGTGACAGCCTGGAGCTTGGAGGTCAGCTGACAGGAGGAAAGAGACCCCAATGGGGCTGGTAAGGGTTAGCTACCCTTGCCGGCAGCATCCAGCTCCCTGTTTACGGGATGCTGGGACACCCACCCAACGCTACTGAGAAATTAAAGAGAATAGCCCTAGAGTCTGTGAGAGCGGGCAGAAGTTGTTGGACAACATGGTTAACGACTTAGGAATGGAAACGGAAATGAGTATGGAGAGCAAGACTTTTCAAGATCTTCAGTTAGTAAAGTCTTTGACCTCCAAGCTTGTGTCTGTTGCTGGGTGTGACAAGTGCCTCGCATTGATCAGTACTTCTCACAAAATCAGTCAAGTCAGTCGAATGAAATCCAGTGATAGGAACCAAACCACTGCTCGCAGGATATCAGCATCCCTGTCACATAGGAGAGGAGGGTTGCACAGTTGGTGATGAACATTGATACATGTGAACCCGGAAAGACTAACCAGCATAAGAGAGAAAAGAACCTATTTTGAACATAAAGGCAAAGTTATTAATAGTGGAAGAGATATTGCAAATGAGTTTAATTCTTTCTTTGTCAATGTCGGACCTAATATTGCGAAAAAACTTGAAAACTCCGATTATGAAGCAGGGTATAGGGTGACAGGAGGTAGCAGAATTTTGCAGTCAATGTTTCTTAATGATTGCACCGAAACTGAAATTTTAGAGATTGTGAGAAAGTGTAAAACTAAAAATTCTTGTGACGGTGAGGGAATAGATATGAGAATTGTTAAAAAAAACTATAGATTGCATACTTCAACCTCTAACTTATATTTTCAATCTTTCTTTTAGTTCAGGTGTTTTTCCGCAAAAGATGAAGATTGCCAAGATAACACCTATTTTCAAAAAAGGAGACAAACATGATTTTAATAATTATCGACCTGTATCAGTACTCTCACAGTTTTCTAAAATAATTGAAAAATGGTTTACTTATAAATTAGATCTATTCTTGGAAAAAAACAATTTACTTTTTGATTATCAATATGGATTCCGATCGAATAGATCGACAACCCTTGCATTAATTCATTTAACGGATGAAATTCTTGCCACAATAGAAAAAAAACAGTATCTTGTAAGTATATTCCTGGACTTACAGAAAGCATTTGATACTGTTAACCATAAATTATTGTTGACAAAATTACAATAGTACGGACTAAGGGGTCAGATATATAAATGGCTTGAAAGTTATTTAAGTAACAGAAGCCAATATGTTCAATTTAAAAACCATAACTCAGATTGTAGAACTGTTGTATGCGGAATTCCCCAGGGTTCTGTAATTGGCCCTAAACTTTTTATTTTATTTATTAATGATATTTTTAAAGCTTCTAAAGAGATGAATTTTTTGTTATTTGCTGATGACACAACGGTATTCAAGTCCGGGACAGATATTAATGAATTAATGACCACTACTGAAAGGGAAATGTCAAAATTAAAGAAATGGTTTGATTGTAACAAACTGTCTTTAAACTGGGATAAGACAAATTATATGGTTTTTGGAAATACGGGAAAAAAGAAGGTACAAAATTAAATATTGAGAAAGTAAACATCGAATGTGTTTCAGAAATAAAATTTTTGGGGGTTGTCCTAGACAGTAAACTTAGCTGGAAGCCTCATATAGAATATATCAAAGGTAAAATTAGTAAGAATATTGGTATTCTATATAATGTTAAACATATATTAGATGAAGCTTCATTACAGCTTCTATATTTAACCTTAGTTGTTCCATATTTAACATATTGTACTGAAGTGTGGGGTAATGCATGCAACAGTTATACAGACAAGTTGTTTGTACTCCAGAAGAAAGCCATAAGAATTGTGGCTAACCAAGGTGCACGAGACCACACAAATAAAGTGTTTATAAAACTGCAGACTTTGAAATTTAAAGAGTTGGTCAGTTTCAAAATACTAAAAATTATGTGGAGAGTGAAAAATAATTTAGTACCAACACATATTAAAAATAAATTCATGTTAATCACAGACAATAACAACAGAAGAAAAGGCAATTTTAGTGTGCCATATTCACGTACCTCAAAAAAACAAAAGGGGTTCCTTGTAACTGGGATTAGTTTATGGAACTCTTTGGATAGAGGTCAAAAATCATGTAACCCGATTGTTCAATTCAATAAAATGTACAAAAAATATGTACTTGAAAAATACAAAGGAAATGAAGCATAAGAAATAAGGTTTTATTTTTTTTTGTGTTTTGTTTTTTTTGTTGTTGTTTTTTGTTTTTTTTCTAAATTGGTAATTGTTAATTGCTGGGATGTGAAATAATACTGAAGAAATATGTATGTGTATGTATATGTATGTATATATATATATATGTGTGTATGTATATATATGTATATACTGTATGTGTATGTATATTTATGTGTATGTATATATATGTATATATGTAGATATGTATATGTATATAGAAAGGAAGGGGAACGGAAGAAAAAAAAAATGGCGAGCCATCTGTTTTGTATAAGCTTAGATAATTGAAAAAAGGGGCATTAATTTATAAGACTATGTCTTCTTTATGCTCCTATTCAGTAATGAATGTTATTATTTTGTTGTAGTGGAGATTATTGTTGTGTCATCATGACTGAATAAAGAAAAATTTGATTTGATTTGATTTGAAAGAACCTCAATGGGCGGCCTGGAGTTAGATGGCCAAAAGTGAAAATTGTGAGAAAACTGCATGGGACACGGTAAACACATATCACGGTAAACGCAAATCAAAAGACACATCTGACCTCAGTAGGTATCAATCTCTGCTCTCGGCCTTGTCTACTTATGTTCATGCTGCAAAATCTTCATATTTCCACAACAAGATCAATAGCACCTCTAACAACATTCTCCTGTGTCCACCTCCACCACCACCACCACCCACCTCCTCGTTAACTGCTGATGATTTTGCTAACTTCTTCACTAACAAAACTGCAACTATCAGCAGTAGTAGTGGGAAGTTCGGATCATTTTACTGACTTGGATCTTTGAGTCTCGTTCAGCAAAATGAACAAATCTTTTTCGAGTCATTTCGTTCATTTCAGCATAATATAATTAAAATGGCATGTTAAATATCCCAACACATCTAGTAGCCTAGAAACTAAAATCTTACATTTGTAAAAAATAATAAAAAAATAAACTATAGGGTAATGCAGCCAAAGCCAAATTATAAGCAACTGAAATGTATTAATTGATTAGTTGTTGGGTTTCAAGTTCAGGCTATTGCTGTCTGATTCTGTTCGTTCACCTCACCTCCTGATCCGAGACGTTCTTGCCTTTGCAACTTCATATTTATCAGGTTTGTTCTTCTCCTCTCGTGTCTCGAAACATTAGTTGTTGACTCATCAGTGTCTGACTCTGATCTGTGCTGTCTGCTGGGCCGTGCCGTGTGTGATACAGCAGGGCCGTAAAGAGTAATGATTAGTTCATCTCTCGAGTCTCGAGTTCGGCTGGGTTCGAGTCTTTCGTTCTGTCCCATAGAGTCTATGCTGTCAGTACTGGAAAGAGAAATTATTAGTTCATCTCTCAAGTTCGGGTTCGGCCGGGTCCCAGTCTTTCGTTCTTCCTCTCAGTCCCATAGAGGCTATGCTGTCAGTACCGGAGAGAGAAATGATTTCTTCTTATTTATCTTAACTCATTCGTCACCATTGCGTGGCTTCATTTTTCATGTGAAAACGCGGAAACTTCTTTACTTTATTTCTTTATTATTCATCACTTTTAATTATTTTATGACACTTTAATGGATCTTAAGAAGAATGGCATCTACACTAATGTTAGTCTTTCCATTTATTCCGAGGTTTACTGAAGTCAGCCGGATCCGGGCCGGATCCAGATCAGAAGGTGAACCTGCACCTGGACATGACCACAACGCATCACTGAAGTGCCAGCCTCATCAGCCCTGTGAAGGCCTCATGGACACCTCAACAAACTCGTCTCCAAACCGGTGTGATGACTCCGATCTCTAACTAGATGGAACTGGATAATATTGTGAATGTTCTGATCCAGTTTGACTTCTGACTTGTAATGTTGCCTGAATCATAATCATACAATGTTCGTTCATTGGCCAGACGAGAACTGATTTCTCCCAAGGTTTTTTTCTCCATTCTGTCACCTGATGGAGTTTTGGGTCCTTGCCACTTGGCTTTTGGCTTGCTTAGTTGGGGACATATAATTATTCAACAATATTTTTGATCTGTCTTACTTCAGGTGGACGATGACACAATTTTCTTCTAGAAACAAACTTCTTGTATTATTTTCATGTAATCACTGTGAAGCTGCTTTGATACAATCTGTATTGTAAAAAGCGCTATAAATAAAGGTGGCTTGACTTGTAACACGCATGTTCTCCACACCACTAGTCTACCCAAGGGCTTAACAAGTGTGTATTATATGCACATAAAAACTTTTGTTTGCCTATAAAATGAACTATACGATAAATAAAATTTGTGCTATAGATACGCATTTTCATTAAATTAAACCGTGTTGTATATGACATCACAAAATGCATTATGGTCCAAAATGGTCATTGATGTCTGTTATCCAGAATTGACATTATATAAATCACAATTTGTACCTTTATGACTATTTATTACTTTCTGTCAAAAAAATGTAAATAAACTGTATTTGTAGGTATCACTGAAGAAATCAACACAACCTTTGCCCAAGTTGATTTCAAATACTTTTTTTCATATAATATATATATATATATATATACATATACATTTCTGTCATATTTTTTAATTCAGATTTAAAGCCGTAACAGTAACCCAGAATGACATTTTGGGGATTTTGAGCTCAATAGTTCCTTAAAGAATAATTATTTATAATGAATACCCACATGAGTAATTAAGAGGGAGAAGTCAAGTCATGTAATGTAGTGTATTTAAAAAATGCATATACTTTTAATATTATGAATATGCTTTGGACACCAGAATTTTACAAGTCACGTCATTGACCCATTTAAGAAAATCAATACTAAATTCCACAAAGTGCCATAAATCTAAATAGGATCTATTAAAAAAAATGAGCATAAAACATAAATAATTACAAACAGTGTGCAGTACAGTATGTCATGAAAAAGTTGTATAAAAATAAAGCATATATCTTTGTTATACATCAAAAACTATTGATGAAATACAAAAGCTTCTCTTCTGTTTTGGTTCAATAAGGGGGAAAGTCTTCCTAATCTTGTATACACAAACTCTGTGGGGGGAAAAAATACATGACATTTTCAGATACACATAACATAAGAACAGGTCATCTATGCTCACATTTTAAAATAAAAATGTTCCCTTTCGTAGTCACTCCGAGTTACGTTGGATGACGAGAATGGGGTTTCGCTTAGAAAGCCAATCATCTATGAGTATTATAAAACGAGCCAATGGCGATGAAATGCCATGGGACTGTGGAATTTGCATAGCGTATACCTTGTGGGTATTTAAGGAGAATGTGGACGCAAAGACAGTCATGTTTTTGCTCCGGAGCCAAGAGCATCTCTTCACTCCACATGCCAAAAGATCCTGAATTTTCATTCAGTGACATCTCTTCGAGACGAGCAAACTCTCCCGTGTTTGTGTGACAGCGGTACCAAGCGAGGTTCACATTGCTTGCGATCGGAGCAGTGGTCTGCCCGTCTGTGTTTTTCTGCCTGGTCGCTTCAGTATCACAGAGTTTTTCCTCTCCTAAAAGAGCTGCATGTGGCACGATATCTGTCAGCCTTTGATGGGCACAATCTCTGCTTTGTGTGTCTGGGCTTAGAGTACGCTACAGCAGTGCTTGTGGATGGCTCATGTTCCTTCTGTGGACGAAGTTCGAGACTCAATGATCTCAATAGAGAGAGGGTCTCCTCATGCACACCCCGATCTACACCCTCCACGAGAGGTGGTACTTCGGCTGGTGGACAGAGTGACTTGAGGGTTACGGTGTGGAACAACCCGACAATGCGTCCTTGGACCACGCCCCCCTCTTCAGTACCGCAACCCGTGAGCGCCGCGGTGATTCACGAATCATGGTCGGTGGCAATGCCCCTATCATGAGAGCGGAGGTTGCCACCCTGCTGGCGAAGGGTGAAATCGAGATAATCAGGGTTCAGGGTTCTACAGCCCCTACTTCCGTGTCCCCAAGAAGACCGGTGGGTTACGACTGTGTTCGTAATTTTCGAATGTGTTCGCCCCCCGGGATTGGTTTTCAGCGATAGACCTGAAGGACGCCTACTTCCATGTCTCCATTTTACCTCGACACAGACCGTTTCTTCGGTTTGCTTTCGAGGGGTAGACATACCAGTACGCGGTTCTCCTATTCGGGTTTGCTCTGTCTCGCGTCTTTACGAAGATTGTCCAGGCAGCCCTTGTTCCACTACGCGAACACGGGATTCGCATCCTGAATTATCTTGAGGACTGATTAGCTCACTCTCAAGATCAGGTTTGCCAACACAGAGACCTAGTGCTTTGGCACCTAGCCCGTCTGGGCCTTCAGGTCAACTGGGAGAAGAGCAAACTCTGTCCCGTGCGCACACAAACTCACTGCTGACTGGTCTTCGACAGTTCAAGGGCAAGAGCGCGGTCCCACTGAAATTATTTCAAAGGCTTCTGGGGCATATGGCATCTGCAGCAGCAGTAACGCGACTCGGATTGCTTCATAAGAACGCTTCAGCTGTGGCTTCGCGATCGACTCCTGAGGTGGGCATGGTATCGTGGCATGCTCCGAGTTCCAGTAACTCCGACATCACCACGTGGCGGAACCTCAGGTTTCTACAGGTTCCCCTAGAACGAGTTTCCAGGCATGTTGTTGTCTCCACAAATGCCTCTGCCCGGGGCTGGGGCGCCATGTGCAATGAACATGCTGCCGCAGGCTCCTGGACAGGACCTCAGTGTTGCCTGCATCGCAAATTGCCTCGAGTTGCCGGCAGTACGCCTTGTCCTGCACCGTTTCTGCACGTTGCTCAAGGGTCAACACATACCAGACCATTCAGACAATACTGCTACAGTAGCAGCCGACGAGCTGTCACGGTTTCGACCCATCTCCGGCGAATGGCGACTCCATCCTCGGTCGGTTTAGTTGATTTGGGACCAGTTTGGCGACGCACAGGTAGACCTGTTTGCCTCCCACGACTCATCCCACTGCGTCCTGTATTACTCCCTGACCGAGGGCACACTCGGCACGGATGCACTGGCGCACAGCTGGCCTGCGCAAATATGCGTTTCCCCCAGTGAGCCTTCTCGCACGGACCCTGTGCAAGATCAAGGAGGACGAGGAGCAGGTCATTCTAGTTTCGCCGTACTGGCCACCCGGAACTGGTTCTCCGAACAACAGCACCTCCTTGGCCAATTCCTCTGAGGAAGGACCTCCCTCTTGTCCTCCTCTCGTACCCTCCTGGGACCTCTCAGTGGTCTTAAATGCCCTGCAGAGGGCTCCCTTTGAGCCTCTGCAATCAGTTGAGCTTAAATTTCTGTCTATGTAGACGGCGCTCCTGGTTGCACTGACCTCCATCAAGAGTATGTAAGACCTCTGACCAATTGAAGGAGGCCACTGCCTTGTGTCCCAAAGGTGTGAAATGCTAATATTCCCTTGCATTGACCCCGACCGGGGGATTATTCACCATGGTAACTGATGGCCCTAGTGGCTCCCTGCTGTGCTCCAAACTTGGTACATATAAAGGGGTATTTGGGATTGTGTGATGGGACAGTAAACTTCCGTACACACACGTTTATTTGTGGAGTACTCCACAAATTATTTATTTGTGGAGTACTCCACAAAATATACCTTTACAGTTTAGTAGTAATGATTTTATGAATTACTTCAATGCGAAAATAGAAAGCATCCGAAACAAAATTATAAATGTACAATCCGCTATGGTGTCTTATGATTCAGCTTCAATTATGGACCCTCTAGAACAACTTAACCGCTTTACAACGATAGGACAGGAGGAGCTAAACTTATCATTGCATCTAAACCAACAACTTGTTTATTAGATCCAATACCCACTAAACTACTGAAAGAACTATTACCTGTAGTGGAAGAGCCTCTCCTCAATATTATTAACTCGTCTTTATCTTTAGGTCATGTCCCAAAAATATACAAGCTGGCTGTAATAAAACCGCTCATTAAGAAACCGCAATTAGATCCAAATAACTTGGCAAATTACAGACCCATTTCAAATCTTCCATTTATGTCCAAAATACTTGAAAAAGTAGTGTCCGCTCAATTGTGCTCTTTTTTGCAAGAAAATGATATCTATGAAAAATTCCAGTCAGGATTCAGACCGCATCATAGTACAGAAACTGCGCTTGTTAAAATTACAAATGATTTACTTTTAGCTTCTGACCAAGGCTGTATCTCAATACTAGTCCTACTTGATCTTAGCGCTGCGTTCGACACTATAGATCATATAATACTCTTGGATCGACTACAAAACTTCACCGGTGTCCAGGGACAGGCATTAAGCTGGTTTAGATCGTACTTATCGGACCGTTCTCATTTTGTCTGTTTAAATGGGAAAAAATCAAAGATAACGTCAGTAGACTATGGAGTACCGCAAGGATCGGTTTTAGGCCCTCTGCTATTCTCAATATATATGCTGCCACTTGGTAATATTATAAGAAAACATGGAATTAATTTCCACTGTTACGCTGACGACACTCAATTATATATTTCATCACGACCAGATGAAAACACTAACTCATCTAAAATGACAGAGTGTCTCAAAGATATAAAATGCTGGATGACGCGTAATTTCCTGCTATTAAATTCAGATAAAACGGAGGTATTACTTATTGGTCCAAAAAACTACTCACAAAACCTCTCACAATACAACTTTAATATAGACGGATGTCCTGTTACTTTATCCACAACAGTAAAAGACCTGGGTGTTATACTAGACCGCAACTTGTCGTTCGAAAATCATATTTCATATGTTACAAGAACAGCCTTTTTCCACCTTAGAAACATTGCTAAGCTACGTAACATGCTATCTATTTCTGATGCAGAAAAATTAGTTCACCCATTCATGACCTCGAGACTAGATTACTGTAATGCTTTATTAGCCGGTTGTCCTGCATCCTCAATAAACAAGCTACAGTTAGTACAAAATGCAGCTGCTAGAGTTCTTACTAGGTCAAGAAAATATGATCATATAACACCGATTTTATCATCTCTACACTGGTTACCTATTAAGTTCCGCATCAACTACAAAATACTACTACTGACCTATAAAGCCCTAAATGGTTTAGCACCTATGTACTTAACGGACCTTCTTTCGCCCTACAATCCACCGCGTTCCTTAAGATCACTAAATTCAAGGCTTCTGGTCATTCCTAGGATATCGAAGTCCAGTAAAGGAGGGAGGGCGTTCTCGCATTTAGCTCCAAAACTCTGGAATGGCCTTCCCGATACGGTCCGAGCCTCTGACTCGCTGACACAGTTCAAAACTAGATTAAAGACGCATCTCTTTAGTCAAGCATTCACATAATGCTTACCTTCTAGTCCTCTGTTATGCCATACGGAACCGTTTGCCACTGAAACTGCTTAACGCACCAGTGGGGCTCGACAGCCTCTTAGACAAACGGGTCGGCGCGTAGGGTTGGGTTGCGGAGAGTTCGGGTTACGGAGAGTTTGTGAGTTATAACGGAAATTATTATGAACATCAGCTATGCTAATTATTTCCCATCTGCCTTTCTGCTGTTATCTCGGGATGCTTGTCCCGAGAAAAATGGCGTTCGTCAGGTCCAGTTTTGTGTCCAGCCTCTCACGGGGATTTCGGATGCCCCAACGCCTGTGATGAGACGACTCAACGCCTGTGATGAGACGACTCAACGCCTGCGATATGTTATGGCGCCGTTTGATTCATAAACAATATTTATATTTAATATTTATATTTAAACAATATGAATGTAAGCCAGAGGAGAACTGGCCCCCGTCTGAGCCTGGGTTCTCCCAAGGTTTTTTCTCCATCCAATCTGATGGAGTTTGGTTCCTTGCCACTGTCGCCTTGCTTTTGGCTTGCTTTGAGCTTGCTCAGTTGGGGTTATTTATTTAGTGTTTAGCAATGTTGTTGATCTGTGTTGTGCTACTTACATGTTATCACTGTGAAGCTGCTTTGATACAATCTGTATTGTGAAAAGCGCTATATAAATAAATGTGACTTGACTTGAGTACTCAGGAGTTTTACATGCCCGATTACAGCTCTTTTCACGCAGTGATGGCATCTCACTGGCAGACACCTGCAGAGCTGCAGGCTGGGCGACACCCAACACATTCGTCAGATTCTATAATCTCAGAGTGGAGCCTGTGTCCTCTCGCATACTCGCTTCACCCAGCTAGTACTGGACCCACTCAGGTGTCTTTGCTTGCTCGCCTTTCCACTCCACGGACTGGATACGTGAGATATTCTCCTCAGGTGAGCCTTCCTGTCTGAAGCCCTGAGCCCTGATTTAGCACCAGTGTCTATTGCCTGTGCGTCGGCTAGGTGCCTCCGTGTGCATGGTTCCTCCTCTGAGCGACCCCCACATGTGCATTTCCACCAAAGAACGTATATTGACAAGAAGTGAAAGCCAATAGAACGTTCCATTGCAACACTAGCGCCCAGCAGCAGCTCTACGCTTCCGCCATTTCAGGGTGAAAGCGACTCGGCAGTCATATAATATACATATATTTAGTCCAGTGCAGAGATCATTTTTAGGTTGAAATAATTAGGCTAGGTGATAATTTAACTCACAACAGTTAACTTTATAGCAGTTAAAAATAAGTTGCTACTTAACCGGGCTTTTACCCCCACATAACTTGAGACAGGGAAGTTCAAGGATTTAATTCATTATACTCTCCACATTAAGTGTGATAGGTAAGAATAAAGTGATATCAGTTCATAAAGTTATAACATTAGACCGTTTCCCGGGAGGTACATATAACGTTACTTACAAAAATAAGTTATCAATGAAATAAATTAATTCAGCAAATAAATGTTGTACTAAAATGTAAATGTTTGAAAATAAATATATAACAGCAATAGAATAGCTTTATAGTAAACAGTTTTTTTTTTGTTTTGTTTTTTTGCAGTACTAGCCTATCTCATATTAATGACCGTTAAAGCAAGACCATGTAAACAAACAAAAAAACACAGCCAATGTCCAAAGTGACAATTAGTTATAGGATAACGGACACAGCGCATCAACGAACATCATGTTTGTAGCATGATCCAGGGGATTAAAAAGTCCTGGCCTAGTGGAGTTGGTAACTAATAATAGTAGTAAAAGTGTAAAGTTGCATATAATGGAAATACTCACTAATGCAAGAAAAAAAACTACCTTAAAAAACTGCTATCTGTGCTGTTGTCCAGTAACTCAGTTGGAATTTTCACCCCGATATGGCGGCCGCGCTCCCAAAGCGCCATCTAGTGGCTGTTACCAAAAAAGCATCAGAGTTTCGCCTCTTGTTCTTCTATACTCTTTGTTTCCACTGTAAGCCTCCTTGAGCATGTGTCTTTCCCTCGGCAAGCCACCTTGCCACTCCTGAAGTTGAAAGTTACCACCCCACGGCTGGTCACTCCAGTGTTCCTCCATATGAAGCCCCCCTCGGGCCATATGTATATTCCTAAGTCCCTACAGGTAGGCATGCTGCAGCATATTTCCTCTGAGATATGCTTCCCAGTGTACCTTGGTATTCCTGTGTTAAAGGACAACTCCGGCGCTAAATGAACCTTAAGTCTAATTACACATTGTTACCTAGTCAACCGTTATCTGAGATTTTTTTTCATGATTGCCGAATGTAAATAGTTTTATCTCTAAAAACAGTTTAGCCTATAACGCTAGTATAATGCTAGTATATAGGGCATAGAGTAATGACAAATAAAAATCGCTTGTTATTACCACTAACAAGGCTCAAAATAGCCCCACACCAACACGACAGCATAACAAGGGTCCCTACATTCAAACCGAAGCATTGAGAAGCATTGAGAACTATTTTTCCAAGATGGCTTCTTCCTGTATTCGCGAAGTTGACTGTGTGTATAAAATATCTGCTTATTAAACTGTATGGACACTGACAAAGTTCTCAATGCTTCGGTTTGAATGTAGGGACCCTTGTTATGCTGTCGTGTTGGTGTGGGGCTATTTTGAGCCTTGTTAGTGGTAATAACAAGCGATTTTTATTTGTCATTACTCTATGCCCTATATACTAGCATTATACTAGCGTTATAGGCTAAACTGTTTTTAGAGATAAAACTATTTACATTCGGCAATCATGAAAACAAATCTCAGATAACGGTTGACTAGGTAACAATGTGTAATTAGACCAAAGGTTCATTTTGCGCCGGAGTTGTCCTTTAAGCAGGATTCCTATCGTCCGTGCCAATTTCACGACAGGGGGATCATACTTTCTCAGGGCCCTGGAAGACAGCTGTGAAGGTGGCGTGATTACATGGGGACCCCATTCTCGTCATCCGACGTAACTTGGAGTGACTACGAAAGGGAACGTCTCGGTTACGTATGTAACCCTCGTTCCCTGAGTAGGGAACGGAGATATTACGTCTCACTGCCACTTCCGCTGTACCGCTGGGTAGACGCCTGAGTTCAGTCTCGGCTCCTCAGCGAAGACATGACTGCCTTCGCGTCCGCATTCTCCTTAAATACCCACATGGTGGGGTGGAGATATGTGTCATATGGCTTGGCTGATGAACCCAATAGCAGACAGCAGATGATGTGCAAAGGGTTTATTTGTGACAAACAGGAAAATAAAACCCACGAGGGGGCAAAACAAGGCAGGGTAGAACACACCAGACTAAGACTTGAAACTAAGACAGGAACAAAACTACAACATGAACAGACTCTTCTCAAATAACAGCTTACTCAAAGAATTACTTACAGCTTGAAACATGCAACGTCAAACAATGAACCGACACAGGACAGCAAACACAAGGGGATAAAATAGGGAACACTAATGACGAGGACAGGTGAAGCTGACTAGACAATGAAGCACTAGACGAGGATAACAAGGGGGCGGGGTAACTTAACGAGACAACACAAGCACATGGCCCAAACAGGCCATGCGCTTGCACACAAAACATGATTCTGTCATGATCCTGCCTCACGACTAGAGGAATTCAAGGACAAGAAGGCAGAATCATGACAATATGCTATGCAAATTCTACAGACCCATGGCATTTCATCGCCATTGGCACGTTTTATAATACTCGAAGATGATTGGTTTTCTAAGCGAAACCCTATTCTCGTCATCCGATGTAACGTCTTCGTTCCCTACTCCAACGGAGACGTTCTTCCCTCTCCTTTATTAATGGCTATTGACACTAACAAAAAAATAAATAAATAAATAAATATATATATATATAGCATGTGTCTAGATTTTATCCATTGGGAAGTGATCAACTAAATGGAAGAGTGTTTTATTTAAATGACTGGAGGAGAGGGATTGAAACTTGTCCAGCTCTTTAGATTTGATGGTTTTGTGCTGTAACTGCATCAATACAATGTCTAAGTGAAACACAGGCATGTACAATACTTACGTTTATAATAAGTTGTTGTAGATGGGGAAAAGAGGGTTATGTCGTTCACAGCAAAGTTTACGAGCCCTCAAAACATCCCGCACACACTGATGGATATAAGCATACTGACACTGCAGAAGACAAACCCATCATATTAGGGTGCTTATAAACCATTTCACACATTTAATTCAAACTATAGAGGCAATACAGTAACTACAGTAAGTAACTACATGTTTAGTAAATTGATTTCTGACTAAAATCAAGTGTCTTAAGGCCCATTCACACCAACAACAATGACTTTAGCGTTTCAATAATCGTTCTAATTCAATGAGAAAAGGGAAGTCCACACTGCAACTAGAACCAGGCAATCTGCAGGGTTTTTTTAAATCTCAAGTTTAGTTTAACACTTGTCACTTTTAGAGCTAGCACTGTAGGAACGATGAGTTGCTTCATTAAAGCTTATTGTATTATGAAGAGTAGATTATTATAAGAGGGATTGACAAAGAGAGTGTATTACCTGCGTCTGATATAGCATTTATTATTCAGTTCAATATATTCTTTTTATATTCATAAAAAAACTCTGTTTGAATGTCCACTGATCGTTTTCTTAGTATTCTTTTCATGGTTAGGGGATTCCCATAACAGTGCTAGTCATTGCATTTGTCAGTTGCAGTTGTTTAAAGAAAAATAATGTCCTTGTTTACAATCTTGCGTCAGTCCCTTTGAATATAAAAGTATTTGCTACTGACTCAAAAGTTAAAGACTCAAAAATACTTTGTTGTCATCTAACAGCATAAATAGTGTAACCTACTGAAGTCGAAATTTCAATAACTAATAGACCCTTTCGCAACACTAAATTGACACATTTTTGTTGCTGCACAAAAATATGGGCCAATTTTACATTGAACAAAAACAGCTGAATGATAATGCAACTTAATTCTCTGCTAGTAGATGGAACCTATAAAATAGCAGAAATATATCAGTTTCTCATGTATATATATATATATATATATATTAGGCACAAAACACTAGTCTCTCTTAATTTTCATTGCCAATTGTTGTACTGGTAAACAAGAGGGCGATATATGCCTATCTACACTGGACGTGACAAAGTGACGTTACAAATCCATTTGTCCTTTATATCAGAAGTTGCGTGAATGCTTGGAGTATGTCAGAATTAGAATGGGGCATCAGCTTACTATCAGGAATTTGTTGTGTCAGCGATTATTATAGTATATATAGATAGATACATACTATTTAGACATGTTGTTTTGGTAGTTGTGACATTCGAAGTAGATTAATTTTTATGTTTGCATGGCACTGGCATTCCTTTCACAAACTTGCCCATGCTTATTTCAACAATGCATCATTCATTTATATTTTTACACTTACACAATACTCAATTCTGATTCATCGAGCCATCTAGTGGTTTGGTATTCCACGATAACAACCGCTACATGTGATAACAGCTGTATAACAGCAATGATCACTATCAGTGCATTTTTTTTTCCAGCTGATAACCAATTAATTCATTGATAGCCAATCAGAATCCACCAATCAGTGTTTAAAAAGTTTGTGCATTTACAACATAACATCGTCTGTCGTCTGTTCGTGTGGACGCTAATATCTTTTTAGTCATCATTCTTGGTATGAATGAATGGGCCTGTAGAATGTGATCTGTCCTGTGAAAATTGATCAACTCAGTTCCATTGTTGTTGATATTGCGACAGACTCATACCTCAGTTTGTACCATGTATGAGCGATGCAGACGTAGATCAAACACACAGCCGTAAATGTCCACTGTGCATTTCCTGTCTAGTTGCATTAAAACACGATCCAGCACAATGAAAGTGCCAGTTCGGCCCACACCAGCGCTGAGAGAAAGAAAACATATATTTATATTGTAAATATGATTTTGAGTGTGAACACTCTGAAATGTATTTTGAAGTTGTTTTTAGGAGGTGACACACAGATACCTGCAGTGTACTACAGTGACTCCAGGACTGGTTGTCCTGTCAATGTAATCTCTGACTGTGCGCACAAACTGAATGAGCGATTGGGTTGTGTCCGGTACTCCATGATCTGGCCAAATGGTGTAATGGAACTGACGCACGATCCTGGGGTATCTCAACTGACCCTCCTGAAAAAAGACCTTGCATTATAATTTCAGAACTAGGTCTACTGCTTGTTGCTATTTTATATTCATTCGGTCATGCACTTTCTTTCCTCATACACGCTTAAAAAAGGTTCTTTGCCACTCACAGCATCTAAATGGCAAATTACGAAATTACTTTCCAAAGAGGTTTCCCAAATCTTGCAAAGAAATGTCTAAATTCTATTTTGCATTAATACAATGAAACCGATTTGTGGGACCACAACAATTATTTGCATTTCAGCACTTTCCATTTCCTTATATTTTCATTTGTCATAACTGTCATTCAGTCGTGCAAGTATATTATTATTTAAATCAGCAAATACAATTGCAATTATGATGCATATACTTTGGTATACGTTGATGTACAGTATATCCACCAGTGCTTTACATCCCACATAATAATTACTATAGAAAATATTTACAAAAAAGAAACAGTGAACATTTTTTTTGTACTGTTACTTTTGAAAAAGTAATGAATAACTGTATTTCTGTTGTATAATACAGTATATCCACTTATTTAACACTTACACATGATATCTTGAAGTCCCGAATGGTCCACTCTGGGAGGACCTTCTCAGAAAGCAGTTGCACCACAACGTCACCATAGTACAAAGGCTCACTGTCAATCGGCCAGTAGCGATCACACTTCACCTGAATCATACACACATTCACAAAGGTATGACATGAGCACGCATCACTAGAAAAAAAGAGTATTAGAAGCTTCTTCACTATAAGTCAGTTAAGAAAGAAAGTTAAGAAAATAAAAGTCCAAGTTTGGACAGATGACAAGTTTGAACTTTAACGATATTAATTTTGCAAGTAAAAATAAATATACCAAAATGTTTTTGAAATTTGTATTTGTATTTATTTTGAGCTAAGTATATGGCCGGTGGCAATTGATAATGAGTGTCACCAGCGCGCTGCACCGGCGGCATATCTCACAGGGGAGCTATGAAAGCATAAAAGGAGGAGCAATGACAGTGAAGGATGAGAGAGGATCAGGTCTGGACATTTATGTTCTTTTATTAATGTGTGTATGGCAGTCGTCTTGAGGGTCTGACGCTTTTACTTTTGTTTTGTGTTTTGTTTAACAATAAAGTGATTAAATGTTCGCCGGTTTCCACCTCCTTCCTCCCTTATCAACATACCGCGTTACAATGTACATACCCTATAAATACCCTGCAATTGTACTTTTGCTATATTAAATTTGGACTTTAGTTATCCGGGAATGTAGTGCTGAGGTCCAACTAAACATACTTAAGTATATTTGATTGTGCTAAAGAGGAACTATTGCAAGTATACTTTAAAATATACTTAATTTATACTTATATTAAGACTAATTTATACTTATATTAAATATATTGTATTTAAAGACTAATATCATGTAGTGATCATACTATCTTTACCAATAGTTTTATGAAAACACATTTTAGGCTTAATATTAAGAAATTAACAAAGTGCTCCAAATAAAGTTTAATTATATTATTTAGATCAGTCTCAAGCGATATGTCAGTAAATAAGTAAATAGATTTGTAGTACACTTGGTATGAAATAAATGCATTTCAAAGACATTTTGGAATCATGTTTTTTTTTTTCACTAGGGTTGTGTATTATATATATATATATATATATATATATAGACCATTTCACAAGATTTAAACAACACTGGTCCAGAAGCACTTCCTGTTTCAGTTTGTAACTGTTTTCTTTATTTCACATGTAAAGAAAACATCTTAAAGATGTTTGTTTAACTTTTGATTCATATTTATATGTTCTGTTGGTTGTATTTTATCCCAGCTTTTATGCTAATTGAAATACAGGCTGATGGTCGACCTGCTGGGCATTGCTGCCTGTCGCACCTCCACCGGTGCCTTTTGTGCAGGTGTGCTCCACCTCTTTGGCATAAGATGGGTCATCAGCTGGGGACCACCAGTCATCGATGTTTCGCTCCTTTAACCCCAGTACATCTCCTGGTGGCGGAGCGATGGCAGGGATCACTCCCTGCCACCCCCTGCTGATGCCCTAGATGTTACTTGGCCCCCATACCTTGTGCTTCCTCCTTAGCCACAACCAAAAGCTGCCCCTCTCAGCCTCCTCTGCCAGTTCTTTAATGGCTTTTCGACACCCTGCTCCTGTACATCCTATCTCGCGGAGCAGACGAACCGTTGAGGACCCAACAAAGCCCCTGCATCCCACTTCAACTGGCCACGTGGTGGCTTTCCAGCCAGCCTCTTTGCAGGCTTCTGCCAGATCTGCGTACTTGGCACGCTTCCGTTCGTTGGCAGCCTCCATTCCCTCCTCCCATGGGACAGTGAGCTCCACCAACAAGATGGTCTTGCATAACTCTGACCACATGATCAGGTCTGGCCGGAGCAAAGTTTCCACGATCTCCCTGGGGAATTGGAGCTGCCTCCCCAGGTCGACCCTCATGTTCCACTCACTGCCAGATAAGAGGACTCTAGATGTTGCTCTCTGGTAAGGGTGATTGATTTTTTCCCCGGCTCTTGCAAACAGGATGGGACTTCTCGTTGGTCCAAAGGGTCTTCTATTAGCCTCCTGTCTACACGACTCTGCCACCTCTGCTAGTTTCCTCAACACCAGATCGTGTCGCCACCTATAGCGGCCTTGGGACAATGCTGTCTTGCAGCCCGACAGGATGTGCTGGAGGCTTGCATTGCTGGTACTGCAAAGGGGGCAGAGTTCTTCAGTGCCGAACCACTGATGGAGGTTTCTGGGACAAGGTAGGGTGTCATAAGTAGATCTAATCAGGAAGCTGAGCCTTGCTTGGGGTATCTTCCACAGATCAGACCATGACAGATGCCTGTCTGTGACACCTTCCCATGACATCCAGACTCCCTGCCAGCTCTGAGACTTGATGTTAAGGCGCTCCTGCTCAGTCCTTGTCACTTCTGCCACCACCATGGCTTTCCGCTCTTCCTTGGAGGCCTTTGACCAGAAGAGGGGGGTCTCACTCCTCCCAAGGCCTGCTCGACCCTCCTGGACTCTGCCGACTATTTCACAGTGTTTCAGCCTGCTAATTGCCCTGTCGACCTCTTCCTGGGCTTTCCACTTCCTCCCTGTTCGTATATTAGGGCCAGCTGCTCTCACCAGTTGATCAGTTGATTCCCTCAGCTCCATCACCATCCGAGCCTTCTCCTGCTTGTATCCCAGGCCAATGGATCGCAGTGGCAGCTGTAGTGTGTTCCTGCCAAAGAGGCCTACCTCTGATAGGCATCTTGGCAGACCTAGCCACTTCCTGATGAATGAGTTTGCTAGCCCATCCATCTTGTTTGCCACCGAGGAGGGAACTTCGCTCATCTTCAGAGGCCACATCACCCTTGGGTATAGTATGAACTGGTAGCTCCATACTTTATACTTGCCGGGGAGCTGGCTCTGATTGATTCTGGCGAGGCCATCTGCGAGCTGCTTTCTCACTGTTTCCCCCATCTGCCTATCAGAGAGGTCTGCTGTATAACTACGACCCAGGCTACGGACGGGCTGATTTGCCAGCAAAGGGATTTCTTCACCGCCTGCGAAAAAGATGGTATGGTCATTTCTAACCCCTTTCCTGATGGACAGGCTGCGTGATTTGGCGGGTTTGATCTTCATCCTCGCCCACCCCACAAGCTCGTCAACCCTCTTCAGCAGCCTTGTTGTGCATGCAGCTGTCTGAAGAATGGTGGTGATGTCGTCCATATAGCCTCTCACTGGTGGTAGCCTTTGGCCTGATGGTAGCTTCATACCTCCAACCATCACCCTTGCCCCCATCAGGATAATCTCGAAGGCTGCCACAAAGAGGATGGGCGAGATTGAGCATCCCATGGCAATGCCCACTTCCAGCTGTTGCCAGCCTGTCGTGAAGTCCTGATGAGTGCAACACATCTTGATGTCCTCAAAATACTTGGCCACCAGGGCACGAATGCAGTCAGGGATGTAGAAAAAATCCAAGGCATACTCGATGAGTTGGTGGGGGACAGACCCGTATGCGTTGGCAAGATCCAGCCACACCACATGCAAGTCACCTTTTTCTCTTTTGGCTCTCTGGATCTGCTCCCATATGACTGCAGAGTGTTCCACGCACCCTGGGAAGCCTGGCACGCCTGCTTTCTGGCAGCTAGTGTCAATGTACCCATTGCTTATGAGGTAGGTAGCCAACCTCTTTGCCAGGACGGAGAAGAAAATCTTGCCTTCCACATTCAGGAGTGCAATGCTCCTGAACTGGCTAATGGTGGTAGAGCTCGTTTCCTTCGGGATGAACACTGTGACAGCTCGTCGCCAATCTGAAGGGATAACCTTGTTCTTCCAGGCCACTCTCAGGAGGTTCCACAGATGTCTCAGGACCCCTGGGCAGTACTTGTACAGCTTATACGATATCCCATTGAGGCCTGGAGCTGAGGCTGCTCTCGCTTTCCGTACAACTTCTGCTACCTCACTGAGTTTGGGGAGATCAGTGTTAAACAGCGAGGATGGGGGGGCTGGGCGAGGAACATAACCTGGTGATCCCAGTGGCGTTGACTTTGCTGGGTCACTGTACTGCTCCCTGAAGAAACTTTCCAGCTGTGACTGTGTGATCTCCAGCTTCCCGCTTCTCTTATCCTCCAGTAGCTGTCTCGCATGCTTGAAGGGGTTTTTGAAGAAGTTTCTCCTCTCCTTCTCCTTCCGCCTTCTGCGTTTGCGGATACGCTCTGCCCTCCGAAGGCTGGCTAGGTTCTTCTTCACCTCCTCCCACAGTGGCTTCAAGCCCTCCTTCTCCTCTTTACTTGCCTTCCTCCACTGCTTTCGGAGCTGGCGCCGCCTCTTTATCAGTTGCTCGATCTCTCTCTCCCTCCTCCCCTTCTGCTTTGAACCCTTCTGCTTCTCAGCAACTACCCCGAACCTGCTTCTGCACTCCTCGTACAGGATGACTCCAAAGCGATTCAGCTTGGTTTCCACCTGGCCGCGCAGTGACTGCTCCAGAATTAAACAGAGGTCCTTATCGAGCTGCTGCCACACTGCCACCTCATTCGCTTTAGGCCATTTCACTAGCTGCCTCCGCCCAGGTTCACTCCTCTCTGGTCTTAGGCCTGGCTCCTGATTGCTGGGGTTTAGTAATGAAGGTTTCCTAAGGATATTTTGTGCACCACCCTCAGAGGAATACGTATCAACCAAAGACTCTCCTGTGTCCTCTACCTGCCTTCCCTCAGCAACGTTGGAACCTTCAGCGCTGTGGTTAGCGACCTGGCTTTGGGCTCCTCTTGTCTGACCTGCAGTTGCAGAGCAATGTTGCTGCTGGCCCCCCGCTTGACACTTCTTCTTTCCCTGGTGAATCCTTAAACCTCTGAAGGTAGTCTCCTTCTCCCATCCACACCTGCATCTTCTCAAAATCTTCACATCATTGCCTGTATCCGTTCCAGTCGTTACCAAAAAGTCAGTCCGGTTTGGCCCTTCTTCCACCCCGCCTCTCGGAGGGCCATCGGGTTGTTTTCCTTTATTTGTCTTCGTAGTTTATTACGGGTGTCCCGTCAGGTACTGGTGGGTAAGGTAACTAGCCTGCCACCCCCGATGCAGACTTTCCTGCAGTCATCCAGTCTCTCCTGAATGTCCTCCAGTCTTCCCTGGACGCCAACTGCCCTTTCACAGTAGTCACTGGATACCTCCAGATTGAGCTAATTGAAATACAGGCTGATGGTCGACCTGCTGGGCATTGCTGCCTGTCGCACCTCCACCGGTGCCTTTTGTGCAGGTGTGCTCCACCTCTTTGGCATAAGATGGGTCATCAGCTGGGGACCACCAGTCATCGATGTTTCGCTCCTTTAACCCCAGTACATCTCCTGGTGGCGGAGCGATGGCAGGGATCACTCCCTGCCACCCCCTGCTGATGCCCTAGATGTTACTTGGCCCCCATACCTTGTGCTTCCTCCTTAGCCACAACCAAAAGCTGCCCCTCTCAGCCTCCTCTGCCAGTTCTTTAATGGCTTTTCGACACCCTGCTCCTGTACATCCCATCTCGCGGAGCAGACGAACCGTTGAGGACCCAACAAAGCCCCTGCATCCCACTTCAACTGGCCACGTGGTGGCTTTCCAGCCAGCCTCTTTGCAGGCTTCTGCCAGATCTGCGTACTTGGCACGCTTCCGTTCGTTGGCAGCCTCCATTCCCTCCTCCCATGGGACAGTGAGCTCCACCAACAAGATGGTCTTGCATAACTCTGACCACATGATCAGGTCTGGCCGGAGCAAAGTTTCCACGATCTCCCTGGGGAATTGGAGCTGCCTCCCCAGGTCGACCCTCATGTTCCACTCACTGCCAGATAAGAGGACTCTAGATGTTGCTCTCTGGTAAGGGTGATTGATTTTTTCCCCGGCTCTTGCAAACAGGATGGGACTTCTCGTTGGTCCAAAGGGTCTTCTATTAGCCTCCTGTCTACACGACTCTGCCACCTCTGCTAGTTTCCTCAACACCAGATCGTGTCGCCACCTATAGCGGCCTTGGGACAATGCTGTCTTGCAGCCCGACAGGATGTGCTGGAGGCTTGCATTGCTGGTACTGCAAAGGGGGCAGAGTTCTTCAGTGCCGAACCACTGATGGAGGTTTCTGGGACAAGGTAGGGTGTCATAAGTAGATCTAATCAGGAAGCTGAGCCTTGCTTGGGGTATCTTCCACAGATCAGACCATGACAGATGCCTGTCTGTGACACCTTCCCATGACATCCAGACTCCCTGCCAGCTCTGAGACTTGATGTTAAGGCGCTCCTGCTCAGTCCTTGTCACTTCTGCCACCACCATGGCTTTCCGCTCTTCCTTGGAGGCCTTTGACCAGAAGAGGGGGGTCTCACTCCTCCCAAGGCCTGCTCGACCCTCCTGGACTCTGCCGACTATTTCACAGTGTTTCAGCCTGCTAATTGCCCTGTCGACCTCTTCCTGGGCTTTCCACTTCCTCCCTGTTCGTATATTAGGGCCAGCTGCTCTCACCAGTTGATCAGTTGATTCCCTCAGCTCCATCACCATCCGAGCCTTCTCCTGCTTGTATCCCAGGCCAATGGATCGCAGTGGCAGCTGTAGTGTGTTCCTGCCAAAGAGGCCTACCTCTGATAGGCATCTTGGCAGACCTAGCCACTTCCTGATGAATGAGTTTGCTAGCCCATCCATCTTGTTTGCCACCGAGGAGGGAACTTCGCTCATCTTCAGAGGCCACATCACCCTTGGGTATAGTATGAACTGGTAGCTCCATACTTTATACTTGCCGGGGAGCTGCTCTGATTGATTCTGGCGAGGCTCTGCTTTCTCACTGTTCCCCCATCTGCCTATCAGAGAGGTCTGCTGTATAACTACGACCCAGGCTACGGACGGGCTGATTTGCCAGCAAAGGATTTCTTCACCGCCTGCGAAAAAGATGGTATGGTCATTTCTAACCCCTTTCCTGATGGACAGGCTGCGTGATTTGGCGGGTTTGATCTTCATCCTCGCCCACCCCACAAGCTCGTCAACCCTCTTCAGCAGCCTTGTTGTGCATGCAGCTGTCTGAAGAATGGTGGTGATGTCGTCCATATAGCCTCTCACTGGTGGTAGCCTTTGGCCTGATGGTAGCTTCATACCTCCAACCATCACCCTTGCCCCCATCAGGATAATCTCGAAGGCTGCCACAAAGAGGATGGGCGAGATTGAGCATCCCATGGCAATGCCCACTTCCAGCTGTTGCCAGCCTGTCGTGAAGTCCTGATGAGTGCAACACATCTTGATGTCCTCAAAATACTTGGCCACCAGGGCACGAATGCAGTCAGGGATGTAGAAAAAATCCAAGGCATACTCGATGAGTTGGTGGGGGACAGACCCGTATGCGTTGGCAAGATCCAGCCACACCACATGCAAGTCACCTTTTTCTCTTTTGGCTCTCTGGATCTGCTCCCATATGACTGCAGAGTGTTCCACGCACCCTGGGAAGCCTGGCACGCCTGCTTTCTGGCAGCTAGTGTCAATGTACCCATTGCTTATGAGGTAGGTAGCCAACCTCTTTGCCAGGACGGAGAAGAAAATCTTGCCTTCCACATTCAGGAGTGCAATGCTCCTGAACTGGCTAATGGTGGTAGAGCTCGTTTCCTTCGGGATGAACACTGTGACAGCTCGTCGCCAATCTGAAGGGATAACCTTGTTCTTCCAGGCCACTCTCAGGAGGTTCCACAGATGTCTCAGGACCCCTGGGCAGTACTTGTACAGCTTATACGATATCCCATTGAGGCCTGGAGCTGAGGCTGCTCTCGCTTTCCGTACAACTTCTGCTACCTCACTGAGTTTGGGGAGATCAGTGTTAAACAGCGAGGATGGGGGGCTGGGCGAGGAACATAACCTGGTGATCCAGTGGCGTTGACTTTGCTGGGTCACTGTACTGCTCCCTGAAGAAACTTTCCAGCTGTGACTGTGTGATCTCCAGCTTCCCGCTTCTCTTATCCTCCAGTAGCTGTCTCGCATGCTTGAAGGGGTTTTTGAAGAAGTTTCTCCTCTCCTTCTCCTTCCGCCTTCTGCGTTTGCGGATACGCTCTGCCCTCCGAAGGCTGGCTAGGTTCTTCTTCACCTCCTCCCACAGTGGCTTCAAGCCCTCCTTCTCCTCTTTACTTGCCTTCCTCCACTGCTTTCGGAGCTGGCGCCGCCTCTTTATCAGTTGCTCGATCTCTCTCTCCCTCCTCCCCTTCTGCTTTGAACCCTTCTGCTTCTCAGCAACTACCCCGAACCTGCTTCTGCACTCCTCGTACAGGATGACTCCAAAGCGATTCAGCTTGGTTTCCACCTGGCGCGCAGTGACTGCTCCAGAATTAAACAGAGGTCCTTATCGAGCTGCTGCCACACTGCCACCTCATTCGCTTTAGGCCATTTCACTAGCTGCCTCCGCCCAGGTTCACTCCTCTCTGGTCTTAGGCCTGGCTCCTGATTGCTGGGGTTTAGTAATGAAGGTTTCCTAAGGATATTTTGTGCACCACCCTCAGAGGAATACGTATCAACCAAAGACTCTCCTGTGTCCTCTACCTGCCTTCCCTCAGCAACGTTGGAACCTTCAGCGCTGTGGTTAGCGACCTGGCTTTGGGCTCCTCTTGTCTG